TGTAACTTATTGGTTTTTGGTTTTGCTTTTGTTGTGCCAGGATGGAACCCTTTATCTTAACTGATATTTATTTATTTATTTACTTATTTGCTTTTTGGGTCGGTAATGCACAGGGGTTACTCCTGGCTCTGCTCTCAGGAATTGCCCCTGGCGGTGTTCAGGGGATCATATGGGATGCTGGGAATTGAACCCGGGTTGGTCACGTGCAAGGCAAATGCCCTACCCACTGTGCTATCACTCCAGCCCCCTTAACTGTTATTTTTGATTTCTCTCTAAAAAGAAATTATATGTATTCTAGTGGTAAAAAAATATGGAGATTTGAGTCAGTCACAATAATTCTAGGTATATAAGTACCACAAATTTAATTCAAAGTACCAAAGAAGTTTTTAAAAAACAGAAAAACAAAACTGACTTTTAGTGAGGTATTTGGAGGTCAAACAAAGATCCCAGTAGACAGAGAAAGTGATAAGGGCCTCTTGACCATTGGGATAGAGGAGCAGGACACTGCAGTGGAATGTGGGGACTGTTCTGGGCACTGCATGGAACAGGCTCGTTGGCAGAAGAGGGAAGGGATGGCTGGATAAAGACAGGTTGCTTTAGAGAATTAGCTGCCTTTGTTTTTTCCTTAAGGCAAATTGAAGCTAATACTTTGGTAGGTGGAGGAAAAGCAAATGTTAGAAAGAGAAAAAATGCAAGCCGGAAAGAAATGATAATGGTTGGAAGATCTTGATAGAGTTTTTTGGTGGAAAATGCTACTTTCTCAGAGAGAAGTTTCAAAAGGAGAGAGCAGCCTGGAGAGAGTAGGATTGGGCACAGGAAGAACCCAGTGAGATTCCCTGACACCAGATCGTCCCCCAGGCCTCCCTGTTGGTAGCCCTGGACATCCAGAGCACTACTCGGTGGCTTGAGTAATCCCTGTCTCCATCGAACCTGAACAAAGCCATATGCTTGACTCCTGCGCTGAGCTGCTTACACTGTGGGCCAACAAGCATTGGGAGGTACCCCCTCCCCCCACCCCCCCCCCCCGAGTTCTTCATGGGTGTCCCCAGCCTCCCAATCTCATCTTTCCAAACATTTCCTAAACATCAGTTATTACAGCAGTTGCTACCACATCCATGGATTCAGCCAATGAGCAGACGGTGATCCCAGGTGCAGTTAGACAATTTATCATTAACACACAATAGGCAGTATAGGCCCCACATTTATATGGATGCCCCTCTGCCCCAGGTGCAAGACTGAGACCCACGACAGTTGGGCAATATGGAGGCAGCTGGGGGGATACTATACACAGTGGGTCTGTGTCGAGAATGAGGAGCCCAGAGTAGGACCCCCCCCACCCCTGTCATCTTATAAGGGTGCTGCTAGCAAGCCTGCCCAGGTTTGTCCTGTAGAAATCTATAGTTCAGGTTTCTATACTCTCTGAGAATAGAGCAGTATTCTAGGGAACTTTTCTTAAAAACCAAAACAATAATAATAAAATAAAAAACAATTACCACAACTTTATATGGGCATTTTTGGTGTATTCCCAGACTCTTGTGCCCATGTATGAAGTTCTTTAAAAGTTACATCACGCCCTTGAGATAGAACATTGTCTCTTAAATGATTAGGGGAAATTTTATTTGTCTTAATGGTGGTCTGATGTCTAAAACTGTTTAAAACCCCTATTTTATGTAGTGAAATGTACTGGTCTAACTGGCATATAGATAACATTTATAGATAGAAAACATTTTCTACAAATGATAAGAGGCCTGGGGAAGTTCACGTGGCAGAGTATGTGCCCATTATGTGCAGGGCATTGAGTTCAGTTCCCAGTACTGCATAATCCCTGAGCACTGCCAGGTGTGACCCTGGTGGTTCTGAGCACTGCTTGGCCTGAGCACCAAACTGCTGACTGAGTGTTGCCAAGTGCTTGTCATCATGCCTGCTGCAGTCATGCATGCATGGGTGGCATGCAGGCATGGCATGGATGCATGCATGCTTGGGAGCAGTCACTGGCCCCTGCCCCAGCACCACTGGGTCTGGCTCCTATATGCCTGTACGTCGCAGGTTACTGGGTAGGAGAAGAAAGGCTGTGGATTGTAGAGGAATGCACAAAATTGAACTTTGGAAGCTTTTTGTTTGTTTGTTGGGGCCATAGCCACAGGGCTCAGGGCTTGCTCCTGACTCTGTGCTCAGGGATCATTCCTCGTGGTGCTGGGATTGAGCCTGGGTGGGCTGTGTGCACGGTAAGCAATTTACCCACTGTACTGTCTCTCTACCCCTTGAAGCATTTTTGTTTCGTTGGTTTTGGTTTTGCAAGTTTTACTTACGTGAAACAAACGTAAGCTCTATCATTTTAATGTGGTCTTTGTCATAGCTACTCCCAGTGTCTGAAATAGTAGGCCTTTTGCACATGGGATAGCCAGGCTCAGTCCTGGACATCACAAACAAAGAAACAAACAAAGAAACAAACAAATGAAAACAAAACCCCAAATCCAGGGGTGCTTTTCAGCTATTGTTAGGGCTTCTGTTTAAGCAGTGGCTCTGGTATAGCAGATGTGTCTTGTTCTTTCGGAGCCAGTGTCTGTAGCAACAGCTTTTATATAAATGGAATCAGGCATCCAGAAAGTCATTCATATGTTCTGTTAGGTTCCTGAAAATGGGGGTGAGTCAGGTGTCCAGTGTTGAGGTGGTTGGGCAGCAATCCAGATGTGACAATGAACCCGATTTGATGACCTCCATCTGAAGAAGAATGGAGCGAGAGCACGTGGAGAGAGAAGTTTGGGTGGGGAGAGGCCAGTCAGCTTCAGATGGCTTCATCTGCACCTGATTCTGATCTGTGTACTTCTTCCCCCCACATAATGAGTCAGCCTAATGTTTTATCAACTTCTTTTTTTTTGGGGGGAGGGTCACACCTGTCAATGCACAGGGGTTACTCCTGGGTCTACACTCAGGAATTACCCCTGGCAGTACTCAGGGGACCATATGGGATGCTGGAAATCGAACTTGGGTCAGCCGCGTGCAAGGCAAATGCCCTACCCACTGTGCTATTGCTACAGCCCTGTTTTATCAACTTTTTGAAAAGTGGGATGAGGTGGTGTGGAGCCAAGCAGATCTCAAGGAGAGCAGTGTCTTATCTCACTCTCTTTCCTGCACATCCCCTGACTCTTGCAGCCAAAATGGCTGAAGTGATGTCTTCTGCTCATCTTGCTACCTTCATGTGACACTTTGAAGGACAGAGAAAGTGGGGACCAGGTGCTTATTGTATCAATCACCAGTTTCTCAGCCACTAGCTTCTCACAAAATCCTAGGGTTTACTCTGATTTACTGGGAGATGATTTTCCTTGGATCTAATGTATAGTGTTTCAACTAATTACTGATTTTTATAGTTACATGACACTTTTCTTTGAAGGTTTGTTAGGGACTAGGGTTTTCCAGAATTATCAGCTATGTTTGGAGATAAAAAAACAACAATCAGGGCTGGAGCATTAGTGCAGTGGGTAGGGCATTTGCCTTGCACATGGCCGGCCCTGGTTCGATCCCCAGCATCCCATATGCTGTAAAAATATCTTGTGTGTGTGTGGGAGGGATGCGGAAGATGATGATTGTGTTGTCGGTGGGCTTTCTCTCACCACCGGCATTTGGTGCTCTTGAGCTGCTGCGTATGGATCGGATCAACGTGGCTCCTCCTTTGTGCTCTGCTTCTCTGTGTGCCACTGTGCTCTCTTCTGTCTGTATCTATTTCTGACACTGTCTCTGTAGTCTCTCCTCTGGTCTCTTCCTATCTTTCTCTCTCTGGAGCCCTTCTGCTTCTTTCTCTGGAGTCCTTTGCTCTGGATTCTGACTCTGCCCCCCCCCCACTCCCCCCCCCCCCCCCCCGCTCTTACAGTCTTAGTTTATATAGCAGTCACATAGGGTGGTGATACAAAGGTGGGTTCAACATTAACAATTCAACAAAGAGGGGTAAGACCACTTCTTCAGGAGATTAACTCAAGGATAAAATCTCATCTAAAGAGATTACTCTGGATTACTAGGAGATCCACTTAAAGGCGGGATCCATCCAGGGTGTGTCGCTTTCTTCTTTCCTCAGCTAGTAATCCACTTAAATAGTTGTAATAAATCTACTTTTAATATTTCTATCAACTTCATTCTGTATGAGCACAGTAAGAGATATATCAACTTAAAGTTTGGTTCTTCTTGATGACATCTTATTATATATTCCAGATCACAGTCCTCAGGCCAGGTTAGTCTTCCTAACCCTAGCAGGATCCTAGTCTCGTCGTTACTTTTGCATCATGACAGCGTTTGTCTATGATCATGCTCTTAACTTATAGTTGAGTATTGTGGTACTTTGGCTTGGCCCATTTCAATGCCAGGGTAGCTCACAGCTTGCCCTGGATCCATTTAGTTCCTTGTCAGAACCCTGTTTTAGGGGCGCTAGGAACTAAGTGCAACTGAGTCGAGAGAGCCGATGCCCAGGAGTAAATATTATTGGAGTCAACTCCCAAGTTACAAAGCATAATATTAACTGTCTTCCTGTGTCCATATAGAAAGAACATTGCTTTAAGGTAAACTAAGTTTTCTGCGGCAAGGCTGAAAGGACAAACCCGGTGTTATCCTACACCATATGGTCCCCCTAGCACTGCCAGGAGTAATTCCTGAGTGCAGAACCAGGAGTAACCCCTGAGCACTGTCGGGTGTGACCCCAAAAATAAACAAAACAAAACAAAACAACCCCCCCCAAAAAACAGTCTATTACAAAGAACATTTCAGGCAATATTTATAAAAAATGGTTTGGTAGCAAGTGTAAATGCCAGCAAGGTCCTGGTTTTGGGGTGCACAAATCAGGGAATGCGTCAAGGAATTGAATATCACACTTACCTCTGTATTGTGTCTTTTTGTAAAATAATTTCATTTTCACATGAAAATCAATTGACATTTGAAACAAAGAGTTTTGCTTGTGAGTGTTGCATTCAAATTGAATTATGTAAAGCTAATCATTATTGTTGGATGCCTTCCAGAGACAGATGGGATCGTGTTCAGAATTCTCACAAAAGCTGAAGGACTTACGGAAGCAGACATACCCCTGGAATTGGTGTTCCATCTACCCATGAATTACCCTTACTGCCTACCTGGTATCTCAGTTAACTCTGAACATCTGACCCGTGCCCAGTGCGTGGCTGTGAAGGAGAAGATGCTTGAGCAAGCAGTGAACCTTTTGTCAGAACCAATGATTCACAGGCTCATTCTCTGGATTCAGCAAAATCTTAGGCACCTCCTCAACGAACCAGCCACTGCCATGGGCAGGGAAAGGTGCACTTTTCCAGCAGACATGCCTATGGAAGATACAGTGTGGATAACACTTTTGCATTTAGATCACATGAGAGCCAAGACTAAATATGTCAAAACGGTGGAGAAGTGGGCTTCTGATTTAAAGCTGACAGGAAGACTGATGTTCCTGGGTAAACTCATACTGATTTTACTGCAAGGAGACAGAAGCAACATCAAGGTGCCAGAAAGTTTGATGCGGAATATGAATTTGGCTATTTTCTGCTGAAATGATGTGTCTCTAAGGGTGTTTTATAACAATGGGACAGATTAGTCATTAAGACATTTCTGCTTCCCCTATTACCATGTTAATGGATCTTCATTTTTTAAAAAAGAATGTTTTACACTTCTAATTGCAATTACACACTTGCAAAGCTTGAAGAATAAGAGTTTATTTTTTAAAATCATGCCTTTTAATGAAAGTGGTTGGTTATAAAAAACATCTCTTTGTTTCAGTAATTAGCTTAGAGGCTCAGCCTTATATGTGTACCCTTAAAATTTGTTCCAGAGACTCATAAATAAATTTCTTAGGCAGAATATGATGCATATTTGTAGGTAGTATGCAAATTTTTAAAAACTTTTTTAGCTAAAAGATATAGTCTGACACTTTAATTTGGTACCTGTAATCCTGGAAAGTGGAGCTGGTCCCTTCTAAGCAGGGTTTAGTGTGAGTAGAAGAGAATCATTAGTGCTGTCAGCTTGTCACCTCCTACCTAACTCTTGCTTTCCACCCGACTTGTCTCAGCAGCGGCTTTCAAAATCATCATCATCTTCAAATTTCTCAAGCTTTCACCCTAAACTTATCTACTCTGTTTTGTGTGGAAGCAGACAGGGAAAGCTGCTTATTATATTTTAAATTTTAATAGGGCTAAAAATCAATAGGTTTATGCTCCCAGAAGATTGGGTAGGAATGATTAGAATCAAATTTATTTAAAATAGATTTAACTGGTACAACCTATCATCATAAGGATTTGTGGAATACTCACTTGGCTCTTATCACAAAACTAGCCTGGCATTTGATTAACTAGATTTACTCCTAGATTCTTTTTTTCTCCTTAAATATATAATGTTCCAGTACCCCTCCCTTCAACAGTGTACATATCCCACCACCAATATCCCCAGTTTCCCTCCCCCCCTTCACACCCCCAACCTCCATGGCAGCTACTTCTCTCTCTGTCTCTCTGTCTCTCTCTTTCCTTTGAGCCTTACTTATATTTCTTAGGCAGAATATGATGCATATTTGTAAGTAGTATGCAATATGTAGGTAGATTTGCAATACAGAGACTGAAAAGTTATCAGGTATATCCCTTTAAGTACTTTACTCCTAGATTCTAACATACAGCAAATAATACAAATTTAACAAATATCCCAGATTGGGATTTGACCAAGAAACCACATATTTTAAGGTGATTTATAGTATAACTATGAAACTTGATCCTCTGAGGGTGAAATGCTGACTGACAAAATGATTACAAATTAATTTTCTTGCTCATGTTTCTCCCAAAGGCTCAGATTTTTCTTTAAACCATCTTGGGCATATTAGGCTAGTGCAGCTGTTTTGCAGATGCTATTTCAGATTGGATCCATCAATTAATTAACACATTTATCCAACTGACTAGAACTCTGCTAATGTAGAGAAATGGTTGTTCTATTTAGAGGTGTGTCCCCCTCCCCCACTCCGCATGCCCACCTGTCCCTTAAATGCCATTTTATATAAATGTCTGGTAAATTTTGGTAGGATTGTCTGTCTGGATTGAGAATAACAGCTATTTTCAGATGCTGTCTTTTTAAAACAATTGGTGTGGTGTGCCCACTAACTGCGTTCAGCTCAAAGCAATAATCACAGCACTGACAGTTTAGTCCGATGCTGAATGTTCCCAGTGTTGTGTGGTGGGCATTCCTCTAAGTGCCTTCCACGTATCAGCTCACTGAGTCATCCTCTCTTCCCCATAAGGTAGGTGCTGGTATGATCACTGCTTTAAGGAATGGTTAGTGGGCCCCCACGGGTTTAACGGTTTAAGTGACCATCCAGAAAGATGTGAAAGCCACAGGGCAGGTTTAAACACCTCACTCCCCCCCACTCCCCGCCAGTAGTTTGATTATATTTCTCTTTGCTCCTGCATGCTTACCCTGTCCGCCCCACAGCCCCCCAATTATACTAGCCAAGTATGTAAAAACACTAACTCTCTCACTGTTTGCTTCATAAAGATAGTACTCTTTATGTATGAAAATAGCTGCAGGGTTACGACTCCTTTTAAAAGTAGGGCTTTTAAGATTCAGAGTAAGATCTGTAGTTAACAGAGTAAGATGTATTTCTGATTTATCATTTAGGAATACCTGATTCTTCAGAAAACCTCCAAAGTAGATGTGGACTCAAGTGGAAAGAAATGCAAAGAGAAAATGATTAGTGTACTGTTTGAAACAAAAGTACAGACAGAACACAAAAGGTATAATTTAGTACTATTGCAGATGGAAAAGCAACTGAATCGGTAATTATACTCTGACAAATCTAGGCATATTCATGAGTTTCTCTTGTATTATGCAGGTTTTTGGCATTTGAAGTCAAAGAGTATTCATCACTGGATGAGTTACAAAAGGAATTTGAAACTGCAGGACTTAAGAAGCTTTTCTCCGAATTTGTACTTAGGCTAGTAAAATGAAATGGAAGACAGGAATCCTTTAATAAAACAGTAGTGTTGGTGTCTTTTTTTTTTTTTCTCCTGTTGTTTTGCCTTGGATTTTGGGTGTGGCTAATTGAAATACTCATAAGGGAACAATTTTAAAGTTTCTTTGTAGCAAATTGATAGACATCATCCTAACTTTAGAAACAAAAGCCAGTACTGTTTGTAGAATACTAAACAATATAAGCACTGTGTATCCTAGTTTTTGTAAGTGAAGGCTAGGTTCAATAGATGGAATAATATTTAAAAGATAAATATAAAAAGATGATGAATGAGCCTTTGTGTTTACATAGAGGACTTGTTAATTTTCTTGCAATTAAATTTTTTTAACTAAAAGATTTACTTTCATGTTTACTTTTATTCCCGTTTACATATTTTACCATTTGATCACAATTTTACCCATTTCAGACTATTATGTCTAATGTTTTTAAGTTGAATGTTAATAAAAGCAAAATCAGTTTCTTTGTGGAATTGCATACAAAATTAACAAAGAAGTTCTGTGGAACTCAGTTTATAATTACTTTCTTTGGAGGTACCAGAACAGCATAGAGCTTGCTACACTTAGGACAATAGAGGCAGTTTTGAAAACAAAACAACTTATTCTTTTGAGGTAGGCAGGGATTTATATTCTAGTTTTACAGGGAGAACTGTTTTCCAGCAAAGAACTTGACTTGCTGGGTGGGGGAAATTTCAGAGACTGTTTGATCACCATCCTGAGGTGATTGGGGTTCCCTGATATGTTTGGAACTGACAGTTGTCCCCTCTGGATGCTGGTCAAAGGAACGGGTCCACAGGCTGGTATCCAGTGGCGACTTTATTCAAATCAATCAGGATTATTATAGAGAAATTTTAAAGGGCTTGGGGACAGCAATTACACATAGATGTGGTTAAAAATTAACACAGGGTACTAATATATATATATATATATATATATATATTTTTTTTTTTTTTTTTTTTCCTGGAGAACTGAGCTGGTAAATGCAATCGGATTGTGTGATGGCTAGAGGTTAGGACAAGAGAAGCTGTGCTACTGGCTACCATGCAGAACTGAGAAAACAAGCTGGAAAATTGTGGGATCATTAACGTTTGCCTGTATTTGCCTCACTGCAGTTGTAGTGAAAATGAAAAGAGCTAAAGAGCAGAGGGTTGGGGTGGGTGGGCGGGATCACGAGTAGGCATGAAAAGTTGCTTCTTTGAAGATTGTAGTAGTCGAAGCAACAGGAGCACGGGTCTCAATTTTATTTCAACAAAACAGATAGTCTATTTTACTTAACTTTTCTCTTTTAAAGTGCCTTTCACACAGTGCCTTATGGTACATCTCAATTTTCAGCATCATATTCAACTCTTTCTAGGGTAGTGCCTGATCAGGTTAAAAGTCAATATGAATAACTTTTCTCCGACCTAATTAAGTTCTGTAGGCTAAATTATGTGAAGAGAAAGGGTTGGCTATTATTTTCTTTGATGTTTACATCTGCTTTTCACATACACATTTTAGAACACAAGACAACACTGATAGTCTAAGAGATTTAGATAACTCTAATATGACCTCTGGATAAAAGAAATTTAAACATTATATGCCAGAAAGTTGTGTTTCTTTGGTGTGTGTGTGTGTGTGTGTGTGTGTGTGTGTGTGTGTGTGTGTATGATGGCACTAAACCTAGACTTGCTGCTTCTGGAAAAGCCATTTTTTTCTTATCAATGTTGTGAATCTGCTCAGACTTGTCCCTGGCTCTTGAATGCTCATGGCTTGTTTTCAAGACTTGGGTCTCTGAAGCTGTCCTTGTTGATGTCAGTTTTGTCACCCTCAGGGGAGAACCACACAGTATCTTTGGCAGGGAGTGATAGGAGGTATAAGATGTCTCAAATGATCAATCTTGCCTTTGTGGCTATCACTCTGTGAAACAGCAATCTATTTCTGCCCTCCTGATGTGGCTCTGGGGGTGGTCCCAGGCAATGTCAGTGATTCATGAGAACTGTTCAGTGTCCGTCAAGGACCAGAACCAAATTCCCCAATTTCATGCACTTGCCCATTTCAACAGCAACAATTCAGACCTCCAGCAGAAAGCAGTCATGTATTAGAGGAAAAGAATCTAATTGGTTCCCATTTCAGTTCCCATTGATGGTTTTGCCCAAATTCTGATGCTTTCTTTTACCTCAAAGTATTCGTGAAAAGATAAAACTTATGCTTCAGTAATGGAGACCTATATCTCACAGACACGAACTTAAAATATAAAACCATCATCTTTGAGAGCAGCTGTAGCTACGATGACAAGGGGGAACGATGGGCTACTCCAGGGAGAGGAGGAAGAACACAGAAGACCCCAGCGCCTGGGACCATTTTTTTCCCACATGGGAACATTTATCAAGCTGAACAGGGTAGTTGGAAGATTGCATTGATTTTTGACAGTTTGGGAAATCTAAATGGGGAAAAGAGTGGGATTAAACAATACAAGAAGTGAGCAATAATTTCTGGGACACCCATTCCCAACTGAGACCTCCCAGGCACTCTTGGAGAGGGGTGGGCCAGCTTCCTAAACAGAGAGCCCGGGTAGCTGCTCACACACCCTAAAGCCATCGCCATGCCTCCTGCAGAACCCCACTACCTCAGAACTGAGCGTCACAGAGAACCTAATCTGCACAAAACTCCAGGTATGTAGGTCTTTGAGGCTTGAGGCTCCCTACCTCCCCATACTTGCGGAAGACCTCACAGTACCCCCATGTTCCACCACTGCTGCCATGTAAGTGTAGCTACCGACCTTGTTCCAGAGACTCATAAATAAATCTTGACAAAAAAAAAAAAAGAACTTTATCTGCTACTGGGACCCTCTGCAGAGGAGGAATTCTCTAGGAACCCCTACCCTGAAGGAATGGCTGAATTGTCAGTTTGTCCTAGTAGGCCCAGAAAGTCTTGAATTCGAGGACTGTGGCAGTGGGAGAGAGAGAGAGAGAGAGAGAGAGAGAGAGAGAGAGAGGTGCATACATTATACATAGGAATCCTAGATTCATTTCCTGTCAGGTGTGAGCCCTGGTATAATAAAAAAAACTAAAAACTAAATTTTGGATAAAGGTAATTTATGCTCTACTAGTTTCTGTATCTTACAAATCTGTTGGAAGTAGCATTTTTTTTTTTTTTGCTTTTTGGGTCACCTGGCAATGCACACTCTTGGCTCTGCACTCAGGAATTACTCCTGGCGGTGCTTGGGGAACCATATGGGATGCTGGGAATCCAACCCAGGTCGGCCGTGTGCGTGCAAGGCAAATGCCCTACCCATTGTGCTATTGCTCCAGCCCCAGGTGTCAAATTTTATCTATGAGTAGTTTTTAAATTCAGTGTTCAACAATCAGATTATTTCACCTGTAAAATGAGTGCAAAACCAAACCATAATAGGTTATAGATAATACAAGTAGACCCATATGAGCAGAGTTAGGCACAGGTCCTGGAGCAGGTATGTTTTATATGCTCAGGGAGATAAATCCAGATTGAAATTGGAATTGCCGAGTGTAAGAAGTGACATGACCTGTCTGAAAAACAGTGAAATAAGAAATGAAAACAAATTCTAGAACTGAAAAAAATTGCAGGAATTCAAGAGGTGGTTGGTTGGTTAATTCTCATTAGGAAATCAGAAACCAACTAGGGGGTTCAATCAGAGAAAAATAAAAACAAAAATTTGCACAAAAGAAAGATCAAACAGAGCAAAAAAGGAGAAAGAATGGTCTTAGAAAACCAAGGGGAAGAGGCAAGGAAGGTAATATACTGAATTCTCAAACCGCTGAGTACTAATACTGCTGTTGCACTATTAGAAATGGATGCAATTAGTTTTAGATGCTTCCAGGACTGACAAGGACTGACACTGCTAATGGGCTATGACCTTTGGTCCATAGGATTTCAAAATTCATCTCCACTGCCACTGCAGGAACTGCCTGCCAAGTACCACAGAGCTAGAAATGAGGCCTGCCTCTCGCCTTCCCACAGTGCCTCCTATTAACCAGACCTAAGAATCCAGCAGGCCAAGAAAGCAGGGAAATGGAGTTTGCATATTCCAACTGCAGATGAACACAGAATAGAAGAGGCTGGGTGGAAGTGTGTGACAGGAGCAGAGGGATGCTGAGGAGCTACAGTAAATAAATGGCTCAACCCTCTGCCTTTTAATTATTAAACAGCTACACACACCCTTCAATCTATATTTATATTTCTCAATTGTTTTATGCTTCTTTCTATGCCTTTATCTGTTGACCTCTATCTCATATAAATTAACAATTTCTCAACTTCCCCCAAAAGGGGGAAATAAAGTCCTGTCAGTTACTATTATCCTTCTGCTTGTTAATTCTAATAGTCTAATTGCAACTCCACCCTGATAGACTGTAACTTGAAGATTAAGCTTTAAAGCTGACTACCACCAACACTTACGTGATAGGCAACAGAGAAAGAGGAGCTTAGTATTTTTAGAGAAATACAGAAGAAATTGAAGCAATTTCCTATAAACTCTTTGGTGCTTGTTTCTATAACTGGTCATGAATGGTTGCTCATATTTATAATGTCTTCCTCCACTCATTTTTTTGCTCTTGACCAGCACTTCAACTGGTCAGGTTTCTTAGACTTGGCCCAATCTTTGTGCCAGAAAGGCCAGATGCCCTGTATTTGGATTGCTATCAATTTTGATGATTGAATAAGGGGATATTAAGGGGAAGCATAGAGAATGTTTTTGATTCCTGATAAAGTCCTCATTGCCCTGCAGTAGAGCAATACTTACTTTCCTGGTAGTAATTTAGATAGATATAACACCACACTCATTTTAAGGACCTCTTTCTTGGCTTGTTATTTTGATTTTCAGGTGTCAGTTTCAACTTCTAATTCATTTTAACATGTTGTGCCCTGATAGAAACATTCCTTTCTTGGCAACTAAGACCACTAAACCATTATAACTCTTATTTACAGAAGTAGGAATAGAAAATTCTGTGACCAGGCTATTATATATATTACTGAGAGAAATACATTCTCTTTTTATTTCTTGATTCCTTGACCCATGTATTCTGGTAGCGGAAGAATTACATATATCGATCACTAGTTCAAAGTATGTCACACTTGTATCTTAAAATGTTTATATTCTATTATATTCTATATACTGAACACTTTAGCAAAGAAAATACAATAATTTGAAAATGTATTTTCTGGATTCTGTTTTCTTTGGCAGTAATGAAGATCACAGTTTTATGTCATTAGCATCAGTGGTCTAACTCTTGTCATGATGAGAATGTATTGAAACAAATGTGAGTGATGTTCTATTTTTGTGTCAAAGTGACTTAGCTGGTCATG